TCTCAAACTGTAACCAATATACAAGTTAAAATTTCAACAGCCATGTCTAACTCGTCATAAAATGCATCAATATCTTCTTCTGAACTATCTGCTGTTGGGGCAAAAGTCTGTACTAAGGTGATGTCAAACGGTTTGCCATTAAGTTTTATTAAACAGTTTTCAGTTTTTAAGTTCTTTGTATCTAAAAAAAATACCCACTCCCTTACAATATTCCTTTCCACTTGAGTAAATAATTCTGTACCGATCTGAATACTTTTCCCGTGTTCCTTGCCATTGCATTTTACTAATTCCTAAATGTTGATGTTAATTCTCTTAATTTCCATCTTGATGTTATTAAACTTTACATTTTGTTCAAGATATTTCTACCAGTAGCCGGATGATGGTCAGGTATCACCAGTAGATCATGATGATCCCTACCGGATGTGGTGATTCCACTGGAATCCCCATTCACGTCGATATCTGAATTCATTGTGTTTTGAGGCGAGATTTTCTAGGAATAATCCAGCGGTGGTTTCCCCTTGCCTTGTGCTGGTTTGACTATATTAGCCTTTGTCTAATGAGACTTAAGATGCACGGCAGCAAGGGGGAGAGGTTATGGGGCCTCTCACCCGCCGATGGCCAGGTTGTAGAGTTTTGAGGTATTTTATAGTTAGCTGTCCCACCAACTAACTTGTCTCCTCTCAATGACCATCACCTGTTTTGGTCTACTGCCACTTTTTCAATATATTCGTGGCTAACCTCTACATCTAGAGGCCTTTCCACTATCCCCCACCTGGTGGATGCGCCTAGTAGTAAGACAGGTTCCAAACTCCAGGTGATGAGAGATAGCTCTGATATCTACCTCATGCAAAGCCAACAACGATAAAAAAAATCAGCTGATACAAAGAGAATAAATTTTAGTGAAAAAAACACACACAATATTATTCAGTATTAGTTAGATTTAGTGTGATCCCTTTTTATTTGGAAACATAGGCTATACAAATACAGGCAAACTGAGTGTTAAATAAAGTTTGTGTATTGTGAAATACTAATTGTTTTCGGAGGTCATAATTCTCTGCCAAAAAATGGTGCTCTGTTATGATGCTCTAAAAGTTTATCTGGAATGAGATCTAATGGACAGTTTGTGTTTATATTTTATTTATACCTCAGTAAGTGGTTCATGTTCATTTGTGATTAATTTTGGATATATTTTATAAGTTTTTCATGACTGCCATGGTAATAAGTGGAAAAATTAATGCTATTTTTAAAATTAATTTCTCTAAACATACCATCATTTTGTTTACTAATAATTAACTACTAACACAATTTTTTTTTAAATATCAATATACTAATATTATTACTCAACAATCCCTGGTCACTTTGATATATAATATGTGTATGTTGTGCGACAGTTGAATTAGTAGGGTCAGCTTTAATGTACAACACTTGTGAAATTTCAATATTGCATTACCACCCCTTGGGCTTCTGATGCTAAGCCCGCTGGGACTCAAAGAGTTAAATTAACCATTTGCATTTTATCTGATAAACTGTTATAAAGGGAACCCTTTTCACACCAGTGGTGAATTAGGCCTATGGTGCTAGACATTCTTTCAAAGACCAATTAGCCCTCAATGAGTGACATTATAAGAATCACACTGCCACCTTTACTTTCCAGGAGATGTCCTAGTCCCCTTCTTAGGCTGAGCCAGCGTGGAAGTGAACTATAATTTCTAGACAATAAAATTTACATAGAAGCTGCCTCAATGCAGAAATGTTCTGTTATGTTATCACAATTGAAGTGACTATACAATAAGCATTCCTAATTATTATGGCCGGGAGAGAATGAGACACCTGGGTGTAACCAGAGGGTCTGGCCGGCTCACTACACTCAAAGGAAAGGCAAGAAAAACATATAACCAGATTGTGACTAGTACCATCAGTATTGGAATTCTGCGTTGGCTGCTGAAGTTGAAGATGCATCAGAGGACGGAGCACGCATGGAAATGCCCTGAGTGCTGTGATGTCAATTCTTGACTCACTTTAACTCAACTAGGCATTCCCATGCATGCTCAGACCTCGGATGCAGCAGTCATCCCAAAGTACCTCCACTGATTGTCCCCATGAGGAGCTGGTTACAATGTCTTCTATCCCAGCCTTGAAGGTTGCACAGACAAGCTTTACCATACTTTACTCCCATGTTACACAATCATGTTAAGTCAGAGATTCATCGTTATCCTATAACCTAGCCTGTTTTGTCCATGCTTCTTCCCACACTCACTGCTACATTGCTTTCTAATTAGTGCACTCATTCATTACTTTTCACGACAGCACAGCCAGGCGTACAGATCTGGGTGAGGAAATTAAGTGCGATTTCCAAATGCTTTCTCCCCATTCACAGTGTATACTACCTTTTGTGTTTTCTGAAGCATGTTCATCCAGTAAATATGATTACTGCATGTGTGACTGCTTGTTCTGTTGCCCATGCAAGTGCTCTGGAATCAGTTGTTATCTCGGTGGTCATTCTTGACATAGTTGCTTGGTAATTGCCACTATCCTCTTTTATTGTTTTCCACATCCTTTGTGCTGTGTAAGTGGGAATGATCCTAAGACCTTACACCAGTAAGAGAAATATAATAAACTATAATAAATTATTTATCATACAAACCTAGGTTAGGAGGAACTTGGTCCTTGTAAATGACTTTAGCCTTCAGTTTAGCAATGAGATGATCAATGAGGTCAGTAAAAATGCAAAAGATGTTGAAGGCATACTCTTCCACATGGTACTTAGTGTCATCATCAATCTGGCCACTCAACTGTGAGGGCATGAAACATCTTGTCTCTAATTTCAAGCCATTTCCTGTTTAAAAAGTAATCACCATGATGTCAAATAGAAAGTGGTAACACAAATTGCAATGAAACTGACACAAAAATGAAACAGTACAATGCACTCCTTCCTGAGCTCATTGCAGGAAGCCTACTCGGGCACAGTGACAGATAATTAAACAAAGCAATCTTGAACAAGAAGAAATGTTGAAAACCCTAAATTACTGATTAAAAATGTTTTTTTGCTCCAACATTGTCTAGGTACACAGGCTACTTGAGAATGATCTAATGAATATCATTACCTGGACAGATTTCTCACTTTCAGCACTTCCCACTATTTCACTTCAGAACTACCAAAACTACATTTAGCTAAACCCACCTCTCTTAGCAGTCGAAACACATCTCACGGCAGGCGATTTTCCTCCATCTCAATCTGTCATGGAGTCATAACCAGGTTTTTCTCAGGAAACAGACCAGAAGCTTGTGACATTCACTCAATCTATGAGTATATTTTGCTCTGGCATTCAAAGCACCACGGGACCAGTCTCACACAGGACTGAAAACAAGACTGAGCTTTTCTTAATTAACTGTTCCATGTTTAAATAATCTGTTCTACTCCTCTTGCACCCTGAAGTTTCACTCATAGTTTCAGATTTCTTTCCTGTGGCATAACTTGTCTTAACTGCATGTTCTGGTGTTGCTCATTAGATATATTTTACACACACATTATAATTAATAATCGACGCCTTCCATTTTAGCTCCTGACCATAATTTATGTTTAGTTACTGCTGTCCTCATTTTTAGACAATGAGAATTTCCCAGCCATGAAAAAATACCACACAATGGAACAGCAGTTACTTTCAGTCCATCATTAAAATCACAGGACTGGTTTTTTTTTTAAATGTCTTTACTTCCATTATATACCACTTTTCTTACCAACTCACAGACACGTCAAGAAAGGTGGAGACCTGTATGCTCCGTAAAGAGTGGCAAGTACCATTGGATTTTTAGTGTCCTTTAAATATTTTCCCCAGGATATGCCGGTGTAATAGGAAATGAACAGTCACATAGACTAGCTGGTTCTGTGAAATTTGGTGATGAACTGATGGATGAGAAGCTAGATATTGTAAGGGCCCTATGGGGGTGAGTGAACAGTGAGGAAGCACAGATAGATCATCATGGTCCAAAAAGACTGGCACTGCAAGGAGTAACCAGGGGATCTGGTTGACAATCAGTACTCAAGGGGAAGGTGAGACAGATATACAATCAGACTGCTACTGGTAGAATTGGAATAGGAACTCTGCGCTTGCTGCTGAAGATAGTGACTGAGCACTTATGGCTATGTGCTGTGTGATGTGATGGCAATTCTTATTTAAACATTAAACCACTTTTAAAAACAGTATAGGACAGAGAATTTTTAGCCTGATGTAAGTCCACAAAGCTGGTGTGGCTGATATGAACAGTGTGGGTTACCTTTTTTATTTTTCCCCTACAGGAAAAATCTCCATCACAGAACAGTCGTATTCAAGTAGGATCCATCTGTGTCTCACGGACAGTATTACATCACATACGCAAGTATCATCCATTATTTAAAAAAAAATTTTATAAGACATTTACCTCCACTGACGTAAATGGTAGTTTGTGCTGCACCACTCTGGAAGACACTCCAGCTTGCTGAGACAGCTAAAGCTTGAAAGAACTGCAGGAATCTTGAGACAATTATGGACAAAATGTGGCTTGGATTACTGTACAGAAAACTATAATCTCTGCTAATGAGCACCACATTTTCTGTAGCATCTTCAAGGAAGTCTGCCTGAAATACATACATAAAGGATTAAATAAATGTCATGTTAATTATTTTTCTAATTTGCAAATATCTTTTTTGTTAACATTTGTTTTAATTTGTCGTCCATATTTACAACATTTTTTTTTTAATGTGAGACTCAAATGGTATACAATTATTTCCTTTAATATTGGTGGCTAGTCAAGTTGATACTGAGAACTAAGTGACAACATACGGCTGCTTCTTCTTCTTCTTTCTCTCGTCCACCTTGTACCTCAGCAAAGTGTCAGGGGGACACGTAACATTCATTGATGAGCACTGGCAAGAGCACTATTAAGACTGATGTTCATTTCTATAAAGCTGTTCTTAATGCCATCACTCATTTTTTTTCCTAGGTCTTCTGGTCGCTCTATACCCCTTGTAACATTTCAATGTGGCTCGCTGTGGCAGATAGTACCAGGGCATTCTTGTTAGGTCTCCAAACCACTTCATTTGTTGTTCTTTGATGACCTGTAAGACTGGCTTTATTCCTAGCATTAATCTGATTTCGTGATTTCGTATTGTCTTTCCTTGAAACTGCTGCAGCTCATTTCATCTTTGTTGTCACAATTTTACATTCATTAGAGGATGTAAGTGTCAACATTTGGCACTGATAGCATACATACAGCTACAAATGAAAATTTAGACTAAATCAATATATTTTGTTTTAAAAGACTTTGGTCAAAATTGTACTTATGTAAATCTTTTGATATTCTTTTTTATGCTTCCTGGTTAAAGTCTGAGGTGCGTTCATTTAGTTGTCACTTAAATTATCAATGTTCTACTCCAAACACCTAGTTATACAGACTCATTTCATCTTCACTTGACCTTTCTTGATGTCACTTCAAGCTTACAACACAAAGCCAGCAAGTAAAACAAACAAAAACTGGGAAAGTGTCATTTTGTGGCATTACCATTCATTCCTTTTATAATAGCTTAGCTTAGATTAACTTAGACAGCAGACTTTTGGGGAATGTAAGCATAAATCTGATGCAATTTGAAAATGTGTACAATGCAAAAACAAATGAAATAAACAAAAATCTTCTTGTAAAGAATGTACACAAAGAAATAATTCCTGTGCATGGTGAGAATATTTTGCATATTGAATGTTGGATAATGTTCTGATAAAAACTATGTCTGGACTGATTTTAACTTTTGTTATATACTGTAATTCATTAGATAAATTTTCCCATCAATATAAATGGAACAGCCAAGATACTTTCTTAATCAGTGAATGTACTCATTACTGTAATTATGGTACTATGATAAGGTATTTTATTCTAACGTACCAGTTGCACAGGAAGATCTCCCAAGGTATTAGATGTGCAGTAACAGAACATGGGATCATCTCTGTTAGCTCTGAGACGTGGAATCCTCATCACTCCCAGAAATTGAAGAACATGGTTCACAAGTTCTGTCTGTAGTTACATGCGATTACAAATTATCAAATATGGAGTAATTATTAGTTTGAAGACAATGAAATTATGCATGTCTTTGGTCTTTAAACAACAATGGCAAGCTTGTCTAGCAAGACAGTGGTCCTAGTTCAATCCATAGAAGTGGCTGTCCATTCAGTATGGTTCTGGCTGCCTCAATGGTGTCTCCATCTGGATGTGGTGGTGGAACTTATGCTTTTCAGTGACCCTATGAGCTATGACAGCAGTAGCATAGCTACCAGTAGGGCCTAAAAAGCTGGACAGGTCACATGGTAGAGAAATAAAAAAGAGAAAGCCTTGTCCTCCACGTTGGGGGTTGAAGTCTGGGGCAGACACTGCCACCTTCATGAAACTTCATTTTATCATGAAACAGATATCTAAGCTTCATGTTTGGATGGATTTAAATGGACAACACTAAAATTTTCAAGGAATTTCCAACTGGAAAGAGATGTCAAATCACAGAGGTAAATGAAGGTGGATGATCTCTGCAGCAATGAACCTGAATGCTGAAGAATAAGAAGTATCCTTCTGGGGTTGACCCAGCCTCATAAAATGTGTACCAGATAATTTCCAGAATAACTTTGGAATTGTCTATAAAAAAATGGTGACAAGTGAGAAACTAATCTTCTCACCGCATGTGTAATGACCTATAAAGTGTGAAAGCACAGCACTTCTCTACCAGTGGTAGTATCTGTTTTGGTACCACATACAGCGTTTTTAGTAGAATAAAGATGTCAATGATTAAGGTTCTAAAAATATGTCAAGATAAAATTCTTGTAAGCTGGACACATTCATTACAGAAACTTTCTGTCGGTTGGGGAGAAAGAGAGAGAGAGAGAGAGAGAGAGAGAGAGAGAGAGAGAGAGAGAGAGAGAGAGAGAGAGAGAGAGAGAGAGAGAGAGAGAGAGAGAGAGAGAGAGAGAGAGAGAGAGAGAGAGAGAGAGAGAGAGCAGAACCACCACCACATAACAAGCATGATGTGAAAAATGACTAATTAGGAATTTGATGAAATCATGTATTGGACTGAAAGGGTCAGATACCACAGCCTAGCTGTAAACCACAACATAGTTTGCCAACCAACCTTTTAACAAGAAGAATTACATAAACTTAGGGTCAGTTTGTGTACTTTTAAAACTTCCTTATTGATGCATTAAAAAAAAAATTTTCTTCATCTGATGTGGGTGACCAGTTCTGTTTGTGAGCCAATTTATTTCAAGACACTCCTACATGCCATGACAAAAGACTGTCAAGAATCTTCTCACATTGTCTTCCTCTATCTCTCTTCTCACACATTTTTTCCAGGCCGTCACAATATGTTTCAATTTCCAACCTCTAATTTTATTTTATACATGCAGTCTAACATTAACATTTTCCCTCCGCATTTGAAATGTTGTAGGCTATGGCCAGCTGGTTTAGTAAAGTAGTAAACATAAGGAAAAAGATTCTTTTTATGCCAGTGGCAAGTCAGGCATATGATGCGTGACTCATATTTATTATAGACCAACCAACACTACAACTTGGGTGGTCTTGCTTTACTATACAGGAAGAGATCTGTAATGTATGCCAAAAATACAGTACTATAGAGCACTATTTGCTGGAGTGTAGGAAATATGAAAACCAAAGGAAACCATTAACTGACTACACGAATCTCTGTAAATTACTATGAAGATGGAAAACTTGCTGCACATAAACAGCCCCAGAGAGTTGTGTAGCAAAGTCAAGCAACTGATTACTAGGACTAAAATCCATATATAGAAGCATAAAGAATGCCCATGGCGTCTTTGAAAAAGTTTCTCCCAAATATAAAATTGAGGAGAACAATCAATGATTGCACACTAAGGAAACAATATATCCGCCATGGTAATGGCACAATGCTATCGAGATTGTCAAATTATTCATAGTAAAATTTATAACATAATCACAACTCACATCAAAGCAAAATGAGAGACAATACAAATTATATTTTGGTCATATAAATAATTACATGATATATAAATTTAAAATAATGAATATATATACCCTAAGAACTCATTTACCAAAATAAGTCCCAATAACCCTGAGGTTGAACAGGATATTTTTGAAAAATTACTACACTACTACTCAATGGTTGATGAGGTGAACTCACAGTGTGGATCATTATAAAAAAAGAAAAAAGAAATAAGAAGCCCTTTTCTAAATACTTATAAATCAGTTATCTAGGTTTGAGAAGCTTGGTTCAGAAATAGTAAAAAAAAAAAAAAAATCTATTCAGAATACCTTGCTGCTGGGAAATTGCTGAAAATCAGAGTAAATGTCTGCAACACTGTTCCAAATGTGTGTCCATTCTCCAATGCAAGGAGAAATTTTCCCTGACAGAATATCTGGTGAAGCTTCTATCAAGTGTATTAGTGTCTCTGCAAACTGGATGTCTAGGGCTATAACTGTTCTTTTGATTGGCAATGATATTAGTTGACCCTGTAATACAGTTTATTACTGTTTATTATAAGCAACAACAACAAAACAAACACACACAAAAGGGGGGGGAAGGGGGGGAATGCAGAAACATAAAAAATGATTAACAAATCTTTCTTCTGCTCATTTAAAAAAACAAAAATGATAATAAAAACAAATTTTTCCATTTTCTTTTCTTCTTCTTTCTTGAGTTCACTGGTTGTAAACTCATGGGGTGTGGGGGTTAATTTTGTTGAGAAGTTCTCATTGTCATCCACTTTGGGTCTTGTTCCAGAACTTTTTGTGTGCACACAAAAACAAAGTCTGTACATTAGATCTAGTTCCAGAGAAACATTTGGAACATCATAACAGAGCATCATTATTTGGTAAAGAGAAATTACTTCCCAAAACAATTAGTATCTTCACACAAAATGAAGTTTTATAGCACTCAATTTACCCAGAATTTTGTAGCAGTGTTGAAAAATAATAAGGAAAATAGCACAAGAACTAACTAAGACTGAACAAATAGCCTTTTTCACAAATATTTATTCTATTTGTACCAGATGACTTTTTTTTAATCATTGTATGCTCTGCTTGAGGTATATATTCAGGCTATCCCACATTAAAGCTGGACTTTATAGATGACTGAAACAAGTTTGCTTCCCAGCTTTCTCCATCTAATCGGAAAAATCTGATTCTTCTTCTTTTGTCAAAATCTGCTTGTGCCGCTAGGCGTCGCAGTCTATCAGATGATTGGCAACCGAGCCAGGGCGTTCTCAGTCGCTTCATATGCCGTGATGTTATGAAGTCTCAAGTTGTCAGTGACTCCTTCAATCCATCTTCTTCTTGGTCTTCCCCTGACTCTTGTTGTTTCGATTTTCATGTTTTATGCTCTTGATTAACACCTTTTATTTAAATCTGAGACCTCTAAAGCCATAAATCATGTTGGCAAACATTAAAAAGACTACTTGGCAGCCATATTAAAAATTTAGAAACTCGGTAAACCTCGCAAACATGCTATGATTTAGGCTTCTAACCATGTTTCCAAATAATCTGATGGTAAATACACGTGGTGTTGAACATAATGAACTAGAAACAAAATTTCAGTTGTCCAGTTCATGCTTTTATACTGGTCAGTAGTAAATTGAAAACCTATACATGTCATGGGCCACTGGATAGTTACCAAACAGGGCATGATGAGTACCTTAGGACTCAACAAGTTAAAAATGTTCATCCAAACAGGTACCTTTTGAGTCATTTCTCAGCCATGCCACTTTCTTATCTATCATGTTATCTTATTTGACTGTGTTCGACTTTTTCTACCCTCATGTTTGTCAGAGAGAAACACCATAAGTGCCTGAAATAGCAACTTTATCCCTACTTTATGTTATCAGTGCCAAACATGAACAGTGAACAAGGCACTACACCATAAAATAACTACATGTGAAATGCACTGTCTCTGCAAGGTCACTAACAACACTAGACAAGACAGTGTTACAAATACCAGCATTAGAGAGAAAGTCCGAATAAGATCATGTCTGGATTATATTGACAGACAAAGAATAAAATGGTTCGACCATCTAGTGAGAATGCAGCCAAACCAAACTGCTTATGAGACGTTTTACAGTAGAGCATCTGGGAAGAAGGCAAGAGGAAGACCAAAAAAGAGATGATGTAGCATAAACCTGCAATAAGACGGACAAATCCATCCCCAAGCCACTCAAAAAGTGCAAGGCAAATACAGAAAACCACGACACTGGGTTACGACCTGGTATCAGTGAAACAACAAAAGAAGAAGAAGAAGATAAGTGCCTGAGATTTCAGGACCACTGCTGCAAGCTTCCTTCATGTTCATCAGTAGATGGGTGATCACATTACCAACTAAAAGAGAGATGTTACCTTAGATTGTAAATGTTGAATGGCTGCCTCAAAAGTTCTTGCATTCTGTCCAAGCTCAGTCCCTACTAAATCCATCAATTCATTAGCAGCCATTAGCTTCTCTGATGTCAAAGAGTTAGCTATCTTTTGAAGGGCAGCATTAACAGACTCATGCAGATTATAATATGAAGGGTGGCTGGCCAGGTCCAGTTCACAGACTTGCACTATGTGTTCTTCTAGCTCTCTGTAACCCTGAAATAAAATATACATTCTTTACATGAGTCTGCGAATCATTTTTCAGTCATGTCATGAGAAGGAGAAAACTGGAGTCTGTCATGATGGTGGAAAATTTAGAGGAGAAAAGAGGCATAGGGAGACAGAGAGAGAAGATGCTGGAAAGTCTGACATCATGGCATGGAAGATCATCTGAGTCAGAAATGACTGAAAGTAAACAAGACAGAAAGTTTTAGGCCAATGCCCCATGTCATGGTCTATAAGAAGAAGAATGAAACCTTTTGACTCATACTATAGTTCTATAGTTATCATAAGAGAATTTCACGGTTAAGTGGTTAAGCTATTTACCTCAAGCTCTGAAAGTTGTTGGTTCAATTTCAGTCTCAATAATTTGGTTTGAGAGTGCAGATGTTATGAATATCCCTTGGGGTTGTCAGTGGAGCCTTAATTTTATTTAACCCTCATTTCATCAAAGCTGCCGTGTATTGCAAGTTTTAACAATGAATTTATTACCTGGTTTTGCCTGCAATAGATGCAAACTTATTCTTTATTCATTATAATTAATTTTATTAAACATGGTTTTATACATTTATTGAAATACTTGGTTATATACAATATTTTTAGTCTCCTGTTGATTATCGGTCATGATGAGCAGTGTTGAAGGATCTGTCACCCTTGACAATCCTATATACATCTGTCCATCTGAGAAGGACTCATCAGTCAAATCTCAGCCTGTGACTTAGAGTAATTTCCCCTGTACCTTATTGATTTTGACTGTAAATGCAAGTTGAACAGGAAATTATAACAATAATGCTAAAAGTTAAAAGCTGAAAGTTGAAAACAGCACATCTGACCTATAAATATTAGATAGAATGACATGTGCAAATATGACAGTTGAAAACAGCGCATCTGACCTAGAGAAAAAAAAGACAGAATGACATGTGCAAATGTCACATGACTGGTGACCACTGTTACGGGGTTCTTGTGATAGACAAACAGATACATGGATTTTGTTTTGTTTATTATAGATACAGCATTTGTCCATCCCATGAGGGTCATCTTAAATTTCAAAAAATTATCTTGTAATAACAGCACACAATTATTTTTTAAAATGTAATCTCACCTGCCCTGAAGACACTCCAACTGGCATGAAAGTGAGTCTGTTGTTTTTGTTTGACAAGAATCTCTCCATACATTCCTTCTGCCAACATAACTGTCCATACAACTGTTGAGCTTGGAGATCCATGAGTCCAGGTTTGCTGATTATCAAAGAAACAAATAAAATGTGTATTATCAAACCGTCTCAGTTGTCAACATTATGAATTGCGACTGTCTGTCTGCATGTTCCTCAACACCCTTATCCCCACTCTCTATCTCTCTCTATAAATATAAATATATATATATATCCTGTGGTAGGAGCCTGTCCTACTACTAGGCGCGTCCACCTGGTGGCGGATGGTGGAAAGGCCTCTAGATATAGAGGTTAGCCACGAATATATTGAATAAGTGGCTGTGGACCAAAACAGGTGATGGTCATTGAGAGGAGGTGAGTTAGTTGGTGAGACAGCTAACTCTATGAAATACCTCAAAACTCTACGACATGGCCATCGGCGGGTAAGAGGCGCATAACCTCTCCCCCCTGCTGCCTTGCAGGGTAAGTCTCTTTAGACAAAGGCTTTTGGAGTCAAACCATATACAAACCGGCGGAAACCAAGGTTAAACCACCGCTGTACTATCCCTCGTAAATCATGCCTCAAAATAATATGAATTCAGATAATGACGTGAATGGGGATTCCAGTGGAATCACCTCGTCCGGTAGGAAGCATCATGTTCTACGGGTGATACCCGACCGTCATCCAGCTACTGTAGAAAAAGTAAATGGTAGACACATCCTGAACATTGGTACATGGAATGTCAGAACATTCGTACAAAACGGAAAGCTGGATAACATCAAGATGGAAATGAAGAGAATGAACATCAACATATTAGGAATTAGTGAAATGTGATGGCCAGGAGCAGGGGAAAAGTATTCAGATCAGCACAGAATTATTTACTCGGGTGGGAAGGAATATAGTAAGGGAGTTGGTATTATTTTGGATCCAAAGAACTCAAAAACTGTGAAAGGATTTTGGACAATATCAGATAGAGTTCTATTAGTAAAACTTCGCGGCAGACCGTTTGACATCAACTTAGTACAGATTTATGCCCCAACAGCATATATATATATATATATATATATATATATATATATATAGATATAGTATATAAGATATATATATATATATATATATATATATATATATATATATATAATATATATATATATATATATATATATATAGATATATATACATATATATTAAAATATATATATACATATATATACATAGATATATATATATATATATATATATATATATATATATTATATATATATATATATAGATATATATATATATATATATATAATATATATATATATCGATATATACACACACATATACTATATATATATATATATATATATATATATAATATATATACATACATATATATATATATATATATATATATATATATATATATATATATATATATATATATATAATATATATATATATATATATACATATATACATATATTTTATTTTGTGTGTGGGTGTGTGTGTGTGCCAGCAGATATATTTGTTTTCCTAATGCATGCTAACCCAGTATGTGGTAATATAGTGTCCAGGCGGAATCATATTGCTTTAACACTCTAAACCTTACAGACGATCAAATACACATCCTATGATGTAAGAAAAAGACATCCTAAATCAACTTTGAGTTTAACAAACAGGCACACCACAAAAATCCACACAGGAATTTCCCATACACACGTACCCACTCACTCAATCTCACATACACTCACTCATGCACACAGATACACATGCACAGCACACATGTGTGCACACTCATCCCTGTCTTCTTAAGTTCCTCCTTCCAGAGAAGTAAGTTGGATTGAAGATGTGCATCTGATTTAGCAGATGGGGCCACATCATCTGCAAATGCCAGCACAGATATGCAGATTGTACCCTACTGAGTACTTCTTTGTCTTCTCATTACAAGTTTTGATGACATCATCAGAAACATGAAAAGGTAGGATGACAGAATATTACCCTGACTCTTTTAAGACCAGTACCAAGCCCGGCTGAAGAAAAAAAAAAAAAAGAGAATCTGGCTGAATGAACTTGAGCATTTCATGAATCTCAGTAAGTAGTCTGTAACCACGAATCAGCCAGACAGCCTGCACGAAGGGGTAAAAGAGGCACCCCCTCTAGCATGGAAAGGCACAATAAACCATTCCCCTGTTTGCTTAAAATGAGGATTACAAGTTATCATAGACAGAAAACTGGGCAGCATCAAGACCTTTGAGCCAAATGCAAATTTCTAGTCACTACACCATAGAGGCTCTGATCAATAAACTTGGGTGGAAAAAAAAAATCAGATTTACTTTTCATTTCTCACTCATAAAAATACAAACATTTCCTGCACCTTTCCATTTCTTGTATGTGTCCATCAATCACTGACAACATGGGAAACTCAAATCCTTCTTTCAGCATTTCCTGCAGAGCTTGTACCTTTTCTTGTGTGTCTAATGCCCCATCTCCAACACTGACCAGTGTGAATTTGCAGCCTTCCATTGAAGTTTCTTTTTGATCAGCAACCTGAAAACACAAGTGTAAAGCAGTTGTTTGCTGTTCCTCATTCGAAAATTATGCTAAGCTTTGACTTGTTATTAGATTTCAAAGCTCTTGAACCCTTTCACCCAGTGACTGAGAAAAAGAAAAAAAGAAAAATTTAGCCAGGTTATGTACTTTCATTTTTTTGGGTGGACATTCTGGTGGAGGGGGGGAGTATCCTTAGAAAAACAACAATTTTACAAAAGTCAAAATAAATATTGCACAAATATGATTTATCATCCAAAACATTATCAAATACAATACTGAGTAAGGGAAATAATCAATTTTTTTTAAAAAGCAGCATAGAGTCAGCTGGCATACATCACTGGAACTAATTACTGCATGACGTTTACTTGATACTGTGACCCGGGCGCCAGGTAACCAGTGTAGGCTATGGTGAAAGTGTGACATAGGAATTTCTATAAATAAAACCATCTTCAGCAGCAAGGGAAGAGTTCCAATTCTGATTGTACCAGTAACTGTCTGACTGTAAATCCATCTCACCCTTCCCTTATATTTCCCGTCCTTTTTAGGAGGGAATTTTTCGTTTATTTGAAACCCTACTCTGGCTCTTGCCAGCGGCCGCAATATAGCCTGGTCATAAATATGGCCTAAAGGCTGAATGAGGTTTCTAAGACCTCTCCGAGGTGATCCTCACCCACATGGTGGCACATTGTGTCATTGGGTGTTTATTGCTTGTGTGATGTCCTGGTGGGGTAGAAAGTCAGTCAGACCCTTTCCTTATAATCACTTGCCATTCTTACTGGGAAGCAATTTTTTGTTATTTGAAGCCATACTCTGGCTCTTGCCAGGGGCCACAAATAGCCCGGTCATAAATATGGTCTAATGGCTGAACGTGGTTCCTGGGACCTCTCCATGGGTGATCCTCATCCACATGGTGGCACTTTGTGTCATCCAATGTTTATCGCTTGTGTGATGTCCTGGTGGGGTAAAAGAAGAAAGAAACCCTTCCCCTATGTGGAGTGTTAGCCAAATCCCTTGGTAACTCCCCTTATGTCAACACATCTACCCCTGGATAAAAAGAGGTTGTAGTAGATAAAGATATTACAGATAATAAGATTACAACAACACAATGAACAACAATTATTTTCTATAATATCTTTTTCAATAAAAACACATACAGCTTCATCTTCCAACAGCAAATGACAGTCAGAAGCAGGATAATAGTTGGAAAGCACCATCTCATCTCCCACAGCGCTAAAGTTGGCTCCTGGATAGATACCATCACTGAGGTATTCAAAATCCACTCTCAGCACCTACATAAGAAACAATTGCAAGATCTCATAGTTTGATATCCAAAATAAAAATATAAAAAGAATAAGTCTTTGGCAAGTTCTGGTCATAATCTGTAGGACTGGCATTCATTGTTGTATAACATACATTGTTGAATAACTTTCATTGCCCATTAACATTAATTATTGAATAATATTCATTGTACTGAAACAGTCACTGTTGAATAACATTCATTGTACTGAAACAGTCACTGTTGAATAACATTCATTGTACTGAAACAGTCACTGTTGAATAACATTCATTGTACTTAAACAGTCACTGTTGAATAACATTCATTGTACTTAAACAGTCACTGTTGAATAACATTCATTGTACTGAAACAGTCACTGTTGAATAACATTCATTGTACTTAAACAGTCACTGTTGAATAACATTCATTGTACTGAAACAGTCACTGTTGAATAACATTCATTGTACCTAAACAGTCACTGTTGAATAACATTCATTGTACTTAAACAGTCACTGTTGAATAACATTTATTGTACTTAAACAGTCACTGTTGAATAACATTCATTGTACTGAAACAGTCACTGTTGAATAACATTCATTGTACTTAAACAGTCACTGTTGAATAACATTCATTGTACTGAAACAGTCACTGTTGAATAACATTCATTGTACTTAAACAGTCACTGTTGAATAACATTCATTGTACTTAAACAGTCACTGTTGAATAATATTCATTGTACTGAAAATGTCACTGTTGAATAATATTCATTGTACTGAAAATGTCACTGTTGAATAATATTCATTGTACTGAAAATGTCACTGTTGAATAATATTCATTGTACTGAAACAGTCACAGTTGAATAACATTCATTGTACTGAAACAGTCACTGTTGAATAACATTCATTGTACTTAAACAGTCACTGTTGAATAATATTCATTGTACTGAAAATGTCACTGTTGAATAATATTCATTGTACTGAAAATGTCACTGTTGAATAATATTCATTGTACTGAAACAGTCACAGTTGAATAACATTCATTGTACTGAAACAGTCACTGTTGAATAACATTCATTGTACTGAAACAGTCACTGTTGAATAACATTCATTGTACTGAAACAGTCACTGTTGAATAACATTCATTGTACTGAAACAGTCACTGTTGAATAACATTCATTGTACTGAAAATGTCACTGTTGAATAACATTCATTGTACTGAAAATGTCACTGTTGAATAATATTCATTGTACTGAAAATGTCACTGTTGAATAATATTCATTGTACTGAAACAGTCACTGTTGAATAATATTCATTGTACTGAAACAGTCACTGTTGAATAACATTCATTGTACTTAAACAGTCACTGTTGAATAATATTCATTGTACTGAAAATGTCACTGTTGAATAACATTCATTGTACTGAAAATGTCACTGTTGAATAACATTCATTGTACTGAAAATGTCACTGTTGAATAATATTCATTGTACTGAAAATGTCACTGTTGAATAATATTCATTGTACTGAAACAGTCACTGTTGAATAACATTCATTGTACTGAAACAGTCATTGTTGAATAATATTCATTGTACTGAAAATGTCACTGTTGAATAACATTCATTGTACTGAAACAGTCACTGTTGAATAATATTCATTGTACTGAAAATGTCACTGTTAAATAATATTAATTGTACTGAAAATGTCACTGTTGAATAACATTCATTGTACTGAAACAGTCACTGTTTAATAATATTCATTGTACTAAAAATGTCACTGTTGAATAATATTCATTGTCCAGTAACATTCATTGTGCAATAACAATAATTTTCCAATAACATTTACTTTGGAAAAAGATTTTTAGTCCAGTAACGTTTATTTTAAAAAAATATTCTTTGTCTAGTAATATTCATTGTTGAACAGCTTCTTTGTCCAGTAACAATTACTCTTGAATAAAATAATTTGTTTGCAGTAACATTAATTGTTCAATAACATTCTTTGTCCAGCAACATTAATTGTTGAATACTATTAACTGTCTAGTAACATTCAATGCTGAATAATGTTCACTGTTAAGTAAAATTCATTGCTGAATAGTATTTGTTACTAAATATAAAACAGGAAAATAAATAAGACTAAAACTGAAATAATTCAGGTCAGTAAAACTCCTAGGCATGGTACCAGGAAGGAGGGGCAGGGGCCGAGTAACACAAAGATGGGCACAGGATATAAGTGACTCCATGAGTATGAAAGTACATGAGGGGGGACAGCTGGCGAGAGACTGAGTTTCCTTCAGGCAGACTGTGATGAGAGCGACATTCTGCAAAGGACCTGCTACATGATGATGATGAGAACTTCTAGTCTGCATGTATAGGGCTGACTGGTGCTTGTCTGAAGCAAGTTTTCTTGGAAGTATATTCTCTGCACACTGCAGAATACAGCAGAAATTATAAACAAGATGCCAAAAGGCCAGTGCACTAATAAGCTGACACCATTTTCAACACTTCCAAACATAAGTACGACTGCCAAGAAACAGATTATAAACAACATATTCATACCAAAATTGTGCTATCAGGGCCACACTTAGACATTATCAATGGCTAACCAATGTAAAATTAACACTAGCTTAATGTTTAATAAAGAATCAGCATCACAGCACTTGGTACATTTCCATAAGCGCTCCGTTCCCATCTTCAGCAGCAAGCGCAGAGTTCCAATTCCAATAGCACCAATAGCAGTCTGTATATCTGTCTCACCTTCCCCTTGTGAGTTGATCGTTGACCAGATCCCCTGGTCACTCCTTGCAGTGCCATTCTCTTCAGATGATCATGGTCCATCTGTGCTTCCACACTGTTCACTCGCCCCCACAGTGCCCTTAAACAACATCTAGCTTGTCATCCATCAGTTCACAACCAAGTTGTGCAGAACCAGCTATGGTTCTGCCTGTCTATCTGCCTGTTTATTTCTCTATACAATGGCATATCCTGGGGAAAATATCCAAATGAGGCTAACTGCCCGGGTCCTCCATTGAGCAATAGATTGCAAACAGTTCTGCTTTATGACACTTAACAGTAAAAGTAGGAAATTGATGATGACAATGACTGAATAACTTTCATTGCTGAATAACATTTATTACTGAATAATAGCCCCCTTCCCTCCCCCACCTCACTTCCACCTTTTAACAGCATAAGACAATCCCAATCAGTAAAAAGAAACATCTCATACAAAGCATATTTATTTCCACTCTATGCTACCAGGGTCAGACATGGTCATTCAAAACAAACTGCAAAAGAAAAGCAGTAACCATAGAAAAGTACTGCATGAGTGACCAGAGCAGATAAAATCAGAAATTAGGTCACAAGAGAAAATGGCAGCACAAAACCAATTCTCAATTACATACAAAGACAGCAAATCAAATGGTCTGTCCACTTACAAAGAATGCCTTGTGATGCCATACTGCGGTCACCCCCATGTTTTCACAATTTTTAAAATTTTTATATCAACTGTGCCTGACCCACGTTTTTTGTTTGGTTTAGTTTTAAGCAGAATGTTGGTTTCTGTGTCACTGTTTAATCTCCTCTTTGTTACTTTTGTGTAGTTCACTTCATGTTTGACAAAGGCTGCCGGCCAAAACGTTATTTGTGATGTTTTGTACATTTTTTTTCTGCTTCCCCATTTGGTTAAGCTTTTGAGTCACATTTCACTGGAATACACCAAAAGAGAATGACACTGAGCACAAGGCAGAGCAAAACAAGATGGAAAGATAACATCACAGAAACTGGACATGTATCTTTGGTCCAGGGGCCAAAAGAGCCTGAAGCAGAACCATATATCTTCCCTGACACCCAAGAGATAAAAAAGGAAGTGAAGAAAAAGAAGAAGAAGAAGAAGAAGATTAAGATCTAATGTATATATTTACCTTCTTCCCATTCTTGGTAAAATAAAACTTCAGTATCTGCTGATTGTCAAGAGAACCACCTTCTCTGAACCGGGCACTTTTAACATTGAAACCACAGCCCACAGTGTCTCCAATGCCAAAACAAGGAGAATGTTTCCCTTCTTTGCCTGCTGGATCACTAACTCCTGCTGATCCATTGTGGTACACTCTAAACAGAAGTCAACAGGTCAACAGGTCAACATTTTCTAATATATTTGTTTTGTTAAAAGGCAAGATACAGAATGAAAAAAAAAAATAATGAATTAGGAGAGAATGAGGCACCTGGATGTAAACAGAGGGTCTGGCCGGCTCACTAAACTCAGAGGAAAGGCATCACGGACATATAACCAGATTGTGACTGGTAAAATCAGTATTGTCTGCTGAAGATGAGGACGGAGCACGAATGGGAATGTCCCAAGTGCTGTGATGTCAATTCTGGACTCAGCTCAACTCAACTCAACTCACCATGTTCATAGGGAAAAAACTGGCAGACTCATAATTTTTTAGACGGATTGGCATTCAGTGTATAATGGGATCAACATTATTCTGGTCTCCTTTACTTTGCAGGACATTTCCTAGTGCCAAATTTACACTGGGTTGCTTGGGAGCAGTTGGCAATTATAGATAATCCCTCAGATGTGGATTTAAACTAACAGACAAGTATCCAGCCAATCTGCTATCATGGCTCCCTAATTTATTGAATAATATATACTAATCATTAAAATTATTATTCTCCTCTTCCTCCTACTCCTCCTCCTCCTGCTTTTTCTTTCTTCCTCCTCCTTCTCCTCCTCCTCTTCCTCCTCCTTCTTCTTCTTCTTCTTCTTCTTTCTTCTTCTTCTTCTTCTTCTTTTTTCTTCTCCTTCTTCTTCTTCTGCTTCTTCTTCTTCTTCTTCTGCTTAGCACTCAGTAGCTGTAAACTCTGGCAGAAAATAATTTTGGTTTTTTTGTATACCCCTGGATTCTGGTATTGACCCAGAACTTGAGTTTTGCATGCACATCCTTTTTTACCGATCACACTTATTTGTATGCAGAATGTTGGTTCCTTGCCTCTCAGGCACAGGCACTCCAACTGTGAAGGAAACACCCTTTTTTTAGTCGCCTCTTATGACATGCTTGTTGGAGGGAAGGGCCGTCAGTGGGTCTATTCTTTGTTCTCTTTGAACACTACGGAGAACTAAACAATTTAATGCAATGTTTTTGTGATCACTTTAACAAAAAAAAAATACATAAAGTACTTTTAAGCATTAATTCTAAATCTTTAGCCTTTAAATAATTCTTACTAATTATGTCAGGTTTCTATCATTACCTATAACATAAACATAAAATTCTGAAAAGACAATTTTATAACATACAGCTGAAGGTCATAAGTTATTTTTCAGTTTCATTCAGTTCATCATCATCATCATCAGGTGCCTTGCCGACTGGCGTGGGCGATCATGCCTCTCCATAATCCGCGATCTCCTGCAGCATGTATCAGTTCGTGTGCCGACACACCTCCATGCCATGCAACAAGACTGTCAAGCATCTTCTCTCGTTGTCTTCCTCTATCCCTCCTTCCACAGATCTTTCCAGTGGTCACAACATGTTCTATTTTCCCTCTTCTCATAACAGGTCAATCTTCTTAATTTGAATCAACATTTAACATTTTAAAATTACACATATAAACCAAGGCATAACATTGTAAACAAATTTAAAACATTTCAAAATCTGCTCAGTACAGCCAAGCCAGTATAAGCAAAACAGTTATATGTGTGTATCCTTTACAGGACACTGCAGAACCAACTCCAGCACTTTTAAGACTGATGGTGATTTTACTAGTCAATGTTTATATTCTGTAGTTTGCAACTGTGTGGGTTCCAGGGTCCCATTATAGGTAAAACAAGAATTGGTGTACTACCTCCGTAACAAGCATGTTGTAAAACGAAACTAATTATGGGTTTCCTTCAAAGCTGGAGTTCATCTGCCTGAGAGGCAAGGAACCAACAATCCGCATACATTTCATATCTGTAAAATGGATGTGCACACAACACACAAGTTCTGGAAAAAGACCAAGGTTCAGAAGTCGACAAACAACAAGAACTTTCCGTCTGAGTTAACAGCAGAAAGAATAAGAGGAAGAAGAAAAAGAAGAATGGTTAACTGTTAATACCACTGTTGAAACAATGCAAAGCAGTCTTCAAGAGTAAGAATGAGTGAGCTAATAACGACACCACAAATAAATAGAGGCAGAACTTACAGGTAACTGAAGATAACTTACTGCCCACTAACTGCATGGTATCCCAATGATCCGGGCATCTGTCCCAATATTGTATTAATTGGGTAGTCTCTGTGAGCAAATCCAATGCAAGCGTTATGGTTTGGATCGAGATTGGTTACTTTCAACTCAAAGTAGGTCAGCTTAGCATTGAATGGTGTCTTAGACAAGAAGAGGCCACAAACATCATGGTTGTCAAACTTCCTGTTGATTGCAAATGGCAGACCAATAATTTAAGAAAAACACAAGCAAAATATTGCATAATTTAAAGCATGCAACATTGCTGCATCTCTTCAGGTTTGCACTACATAACATATAGAAATCGATATGAAGCACATAATTCCATCCTTTCAAATGAAATACAAAAATAAAAAAATAAAAACTCTTATCAATGTGGTGGTCAGGCATGTTTATTGTTTTTAATAAAGGCAAATTTTTGCTTCTGACAATAGTAAGTTCTTGTATTTTCCTCCATATGTAGATTGAAAGGATATAGTTCCATCACCCAGCTACTGAGTTGAGTGCATGGTGCAACACTGTGAGCTGCAACTTTCATTTGGAATGCTTTCCTACAGTGCCCAAATGTGGTTTGTATTGTAAACTGCAAATTTAAAAACTGGAGAGTGGTCTGTGGCCAAGGAACTTGTGGTGCCTTTTGCAATGAATTATGTGTGCAAGTATTGATCTGTTGTATTTGCTGCTTCCAGTGAAAATTAACTGTATTTCCATTGATAGACTGTTCATGCCAGCACTTCTGACTGCCGCCTTATGCATTTAATGCCTGTGTATGCTGTTGGATTTGCTAAGACTGCAGTCTGTGTCATTTTTTTGCTCTCACAAGGGACAGTGATGGACATTCTGTGTGGTTTTTATTTGTACAGGGATGGAGCAACTATGGTCTGACCATTTGGCTATGAAGTTGGAAGTTTGATACCTCATGATCTGACTACCAAATAAAATAAACAACACACAGTCCAATGTTTCATTGTAGTGTTAATATTGTAATTTTATCCTGCTCAACAGACCCTTCCGATTGCATAACAAATATAATCACAGGGATCTATGGGCTAGTAGTAAAAGTGTGTGTACACACACACATATATACATACACATTTATACAACTATATACATATATACAACTATATACATATATACACCTATATTCACATATACATGTATAAATATCAGACATAAATATCAGAAACACTAAAAAGTACTTTATACAAAGCGAACAGAAAGGCCCATTCCAGAGATCTCTTCTTGCCCTAACGCTGTGAGGCATTTCAGGAGTAGAGAAAAGAAGAAAGAAGAAGAAGATATATATGTATCCACTGGTAGGGAAACAAGATGAAAGAGGTGGATCTGCGGGGACAGAATGCAGTGGATAGTGTTGATAGTAGGGGAAAATCAGAAAGGAAATATGGATAAATGAGAAAATTATTGTGGATACATCTAGAGCTAGTCTCTGATCAGAATGATGTTATAAGCATGTGATGGCAACAATGCTCCTTAAATCCCATACTCTAATTGTGAAAGACTTTTCTTAAAGGAGTTGGTCTTGCTAGTCACACTGATAATCACCACGGGCCTCCATCCCTTCCTATAGTAATTAGTGATTAGAAAGGATTATCATCACAGCACTCTGGACAGATCCATAGGTGCTCCAATCTCCTCCTTAAAAACTCCACAAGTGTAAAACCACAGATGACGTCTGTTCTGTGTTGGTTAATGAAACATCTTGTCCACTTAGTGAAATGTTCATTTCTTGCAGCTCCAGGTTGCACCCCCATGTCCATCAGTCTAGATAGGAATACGGAGTCATGTCCTTTGGCGTGCTCCTCGGTTAGGTAAGTGCAGCGCATGCCATTGATAACATCACTTCTGTCCAGTACTAGACTAACCGTAGCAACTGTAGTGTCAGCAAGACAGTCTGCATGCCCGTTCCCTTGAACACCCGCATGATCTGGCACAAAGATGAAGGTTAGGGCAGCTATTCGTGAAGCACTTAGTGTTGCAATCCATTCTTGCCTGATAAATCTAGCTTGGATTTTTTTAAGCGTATTCATCGAGTCACTAAGAATGCATACGAGTGTAAACTTTTGAGTACCAAGCCAAGCTAAAGCCCTTGTAACAGCCATAGTTTCCATTGTAAGGCTACTAGTTGTAACAGCAAAGCCCTATAGAATAATTTAAAACTATCATCATGGAAAATGGACAAGTGTCAACAACGACTGATGATATTCCATCATAACATCTCATCACAGATCAAACAATACAAATGCTCTAAACTCTGCCTCTTCTAGATCCTTCCCAGTGTCAAGATGTTGTTTAATCTCTCTCTTCTTATGCCATGACCAGTGTTGATTTCCCTTATGATTGTATATAAGCAACTGAACTGTCTATCACCATCATCGATTTGTGCCATTATATGTCACATGAGGGAGTCGCTGTGGCGTAGCCGCTAGACACTCTCGTGCGAATCGGAAGGTCGTGGGTTCGCTCTCTGGCAGAGCCCGACTTTTTTCTAAAATGACCTTGACTTCCAGGTCGACCCAGCCCTGAGTGGGTACTGGATGCAGTACTGGAAGTAAAGGCGGCTGGCGTGATGCTGACCATATCACCAATCTTTTGCTGATTGGTCTATAAAAATATAGATCTAGCCCTATATGCCATATATGCCTGAAGGCGTGGAAAAGGGACCTTTACTTTACTTTATGTCATATAGGGCTTATTGTTTATTCTTCATTTCTGGTCTGTCCTGTGAAATCATGTATGGAATCCAGTCCCGTACACCTGGTCAATTTATTATCAACATTCATTTAAGAGTTGTTGCTGTTGTTGTTGTAGTTATGTCATTATGTGTACGCATGGAAGACTTTGTTTCCTCAATCCACTTATTTCAAGTGGCTGTTCAGTGATTCTCTGTTTACTTCTTCTGAGGATGTGCCCAATATATTGTCGTCTTCCTTTTATTTTAACTGTTCCTCATCATTTCACCTTTGCTTTTTTCTCCTCAAATTATGTGTAATGTTCTTCTTTCATTAGCTTTATCAAGGCAATCCTTTTCTGAGTAAAAACATTTTGCTGCATACTGTTAAACCTTATACAAAATAAAATATTAACAACTGCACATTTACTGTCAGAATATATACCTGTAAAGAAGTCGGCCGTCATCGTAAATATTCAGAAAGTTACAACGGCCCATGGTCAACATGTCCAGGCAAGGAGGCTAAGGAAATTGTTAAACAAATAAAATATGTCAAAGGCTGTAAAGAAAATAATGAAACTGACATTAAAGTTATATGAGATATCAAAAACAGGTGTGACTGAAGCCATGCTGATCTCATGAAGTTACCAAGCACAGCACATAAATAATGTAGCAAACAACTTGCCATGAAACATGCCTTTCATTGTGCTTTATCTTCTTCTCCTTCTCCTCCTTCTTCTTCTTCTTCTTCTTCTTCTTCTTCTTCTTCTTCTTCTTCTTCTTCTTCTTCTTCTTCTTCTCCTCCTTCTTCTCCTCCTTCTCCTTCTTCTTCTCCTCCTCCTCCATCTTCTTCTCCTCCCTCTCCTCCTCCTTCTTCTTTTCCTCCCCTCCTTCTCCTCCTTCTTCTCCTCCTCCTCTTCCTCCTCCTTCTTCTTCTCCTCCTGCTGCTGCTTCTTCTTCCTCTTCTTCTTCTTCTTCTTCTTCTTTTGTTTAAAGTCATTTGCTTTCTCTTACTGCTTCCTCTTCACATAACTATTTGTAAGGTTGAATGGGGGTAAAAAGCGGAAAGGGAGGGGAGAGGGCACATCCAGAGTCAATTCTTGCTGTCCTAAAATCTGAAATGTGCTTCATTTTATCAAGCATCCCAGATCACATAAAAATTATAGCCTGTTGAAACTATGAAAATATTATCATAGTCATCATCATTGTTCCTTAACACAGGAATTCCCATGAAATTTGACTAAAAAGCTTAACCAAATGGGGAAGCAGAAAAACTTGCACAAAACAACACAAAAAACGTTTACAAAGGTAACAATGAGAAAAGGAGAGTATGCAGATTATTTGTGAACGTTATTTGTGTTGTTTGGTGCATGTTTTTCTGCTTCCCCATTTGGTTAAGCTTTTTAGTCAAATTTCACTGGAATTCCTTGTATTAGCTTGACTGCAGTCACCCCCATATTTTCCTTAACACAGCCATGTTGTTGAGTCCCCATTTTCTAATGACTCTGATCAAATCACTCCACCTCTTATTTTGGTTACATTCACTGGTCTTGATATTTTTTGATGAAAATGAAATTAATTAAAATGATTCTAATATAGTTTACCTGAGCCTGATACAGTAGTCGATAATTCTGGATTCTGGCTTTGACTCCTGCTCCTTTCAAACTCACCATGAACACAAAACGAACACCCAACTTTCCTCCGGTCATTTTGTGCACAACAGAGCCAATCTAACATAATGATGCAATTACTGAAATAATTATATGCACAATACTAAATAACAATAAACATATCAACTAGCAAATAAAAGTAAGTAACACTCAAGCCTACAGGTCACTGGTCAAAATTAACATCAGAATATAAAACATTTTTCCATTTAACTTTTAAATGGTGAGATTATTTTTGATTTACTTTGTTCTGTTTAATATTCTTTCATGACAACATCCGAGTTCAATATAGTTTTTATTTTTTAAATGGAATAATAAAATCTGAATTAAACAAATAGGAAATTAAAGCCTAGAAACAGGCAGACAGTCACACAGACAGACAGACAGACAGACAGTCAGACAGGCAAACAGGTTGACAGGCAGGCAGATAGATAATTGTTTATAAATCCTTATGTCTAGTAAGAGTTTAGAAATTCTCAAGTTAATCCAAATGGTATAAAAACATTAATCTGTCTAAGATTACAACCATTAGAAAAGGTAGGTAGGTAAGTTGTACCCCTCCAGGACATCACACAAGCGATAAACACCCGGTGACACAAAGTGTCACCATGTCGATGAGGATCACCCATGGAGAAGTCCCAGAAACCCTGTTCAGCCGTTAGGCCATATTTAAGGCCTGGCTATATTTAGGGCCCCATGCAAAAGCCAGGGTGGGACTTCAAAAAACTAAAAATTGTATTCCACATGAGGATGATGAATGATTAGAAAAGTAAAGGACTCTTTTTATACCAGTGGTGCATTTTTTAAAACCAGACAGCACATCGTATAGACCAGACAGCACATCGTATAGACCAGACAGCACATCGTATAGACCAGACAGCACATCGTATAGACCAGACAGCACATCGTATAGACCAGACAGCACATCGTATAGACCAGACAGCACATCATATAGACCAGACAGCACATCGTATAGACCAGACAGCACATCTTATAGACCAGACAGTACATCGTATAGACCAGACAGCACATCGTATAGACCAGACAGTACATCGTATAGACCAGTCAGTACATCGTATAGACCAGACAGCACATCGTATAGACCAGACAGCACATCGTATAGACCAGACAGTACATCGTATAGACCAGACAGTACATAGTCAGTGATTCTTGTTATTAGCATTTATTCATATTCTTTTCTGTCCCATATAGCCATTGACTCCCCGAAAGAGTGAGAAGCAACAATGAAATTCCTAATCTGTTTAAATCACCATTGATAACTGGCATCATAAGCGCTGATAGACTAAAATGGTTGGGGCATATTGAAAAAATGTCAGATGACAGAGAAGTAAAAATTGTATACACAAGGGAGATGAATTGTCAAAGTCCATGAGGTAGACCAAGAAGATGATAAAGAGATAATGTCCAGATAGACCTGCAAACACTTGTTGTCACCAACACCAACTGAAAAGAGAAGACCCACCAGAGAGATGAATGAAGGCAGGTGATATCTGCAGCAATGAACCTCAAGGGCTCGGAATGCTAAAGAAGAAGAAGATATGGCCATTGGGTTGACTCAGAATAATAAAGTGGCTACTCTAGATAAACTGAAAATCCCTGGCATAATACAAACAGCATGTAAGGAAGATTTTAAAAGTTCCAGGAATGTATTCTTTTAGATCACATCGTGTGGCACTGGTAATCATATCTGTCCATAGTTTTGTATTTTTTTTGTTTTTATGGTCAATCATTTCTGATACAGATGTTCTTCCATGCCATGATGCCTAACTAACCAACATTTTCTCTCTTGGTCTCCTTCTACATCTTTTTTGTGAAGTCTCAATCGCTTCCACTGTGCTCCTTTCATACTAATATCTGAAAGCAGCAAGAATGGATTTTTTTTCTAGCCTTCACAACATGCTTGATCTTCAACACGCAAATATGGCGACAGACCACGCAAGACAATGTATCCAATTTTATAAGTCAGCGTCGCTAGAACTACATTGGCCATGCACTCAGAATGGATAAGACAAGACTCTCCCATCAAACCCTCATATGGACACCGGAAGGGAAAAGAAAATAGGGAAGACCAAGAGAGACTCTGTGTACAACCATCCTCAGAAGGCTTAACCATGGGCCTAATAAACATCCAGGACCTACAACAGGTGGCAACGAACCGGCAGACATGGAGAGCTATGACTTCTGCCCTATGCGCCATTCTAGGATCAAGAGGAAAGACTAACTTACTAACTAACTAATAATATTGAAATTGAACCCTGGTACTTAAAGGGTTGTGAAATATGTTCAATGACTCTAAGCCGCACAGCTATCTCTTAGAGTGCATTACTATTGTTATTTGTTTCTTTTACATGACTGGTAATATAAAATTGTGGAAATGACTAAAACACTTGAATGAGATTACAAATAGTATACCAGAATTGAATTCACATAGAAGTCAACTTCAATCTCTTCATTCAATAGGACCCTTTCGCCAGTCAGTCTGACCACTGCTTTGATCTCATCTCCATTTTTCCATGGAAGACATTTGCCACTGTCTGAGACTGTTGATTCCTCACCACCCATGTGAATCCTAAGGAAATAAATATTCAACAAACAAAACAAGCACTGTAGAAATTATTCCATCTGCAAAGTTTTTTTTAAAAAGACTCGTTATCTAGATATCCTGATTCCTTTCCTGAGTGAATCTTAAAAGAGAAAATATTTGACAAATAAACACTGTGAAGGTTAACAATACTCCATCATAATATTTTTTACCCATTATCTAAAGATATAAATTGACAGTCATGGAAATGAGATGTCTGAGAGGGGCTGCAGGAATTACCATAAGAGATACAATTAGGAATGAGGGCATAAGAGAAAAATTCAGCATAGAACCAATTCTAAATTACACACAAAGACAGCAAATCAAATGCTTTGCAAACTCAGAGAGAATGCTTTGTCTAGCCATACAATACAAGGTATTCACTAAAACAGGAGAAGGGTGTAGAGCACTAGGTAGACCAAGAACAAGATGGAATGATAAAATCACAGAAACTTTAAAACAGCAAAATGTGTCTATGTTTGAGTTGGTCAGATGAGCAAGAAGCAGAACCTTTTATCGCCTTTAACACCTGAAACAATAAAAGAGGAAGTGAAGTAGAAAAAGACCTAAAGATTTGGATATTTCAGTCTGACAGAAATGTCTCCATACATCAAAGTTTACTGTCATGGGCTACTGAGAATTACATTTCATACTAACAACAGATATAATTTTTAATCTCTGTAATTAACACTATAATCTATACAATATTAAACAGTTATGAATATTAACAGAATAAGCCCTTAACTAACTTGGCCTACTTTACCAGTTTGTGCAGGTCACTACCTGCCCTCCTTATCTCGTTCACCTCAACCTCTAATTCTCTTCTCCGTGTTAATTGTGTGCATCCTAATCACTTTATTATTGTTAATTCCCCAAAAAAAGTACATTCAAATGTAACTATTATCTGGATTTCTCATGGTGTACTTTATCCAGTGTCAGCACCTTTTCTTCACCTTTTGATTCACTAGAATTAGTTTACATCTATCAGCAATCAGTTTATGAGTGCAATTTTTACCAAGTTCACTTGAGAACATTAGTGGATCTTTGGGGTTTGTACTTTGTGTGATGCTCTCAGGAAGTAGCTTGCCATTCTGCAGAAAGAGACTGAGCCATGTTGAATAAGCCAGGGCAATGAAGTCAATCCTCTCAACTTTTGACTTTCTGTCTATCTGTAATATCTGTATTGGTGATCCTGCACTCTTAAAATATCATTATCCTGGTATAATGTACACACATGCTGTGACTGTCACTGACTCACAGAGTATGTTGAGAAAGGTGGAGACAGGCATGCTTTGTGCGGAGTGGCAAGCATCACTTCAGAGGTCCCAGGTAGTTAGCGTCCTCTAGGTATTTCTCCAAGTATATTGGGAAATGAGCAGACAGATAGACAGGCTGGTTCTGCACCACTTGGTGGTGAATTAATGTATGACAAGCTAGATGTTGTGAGGGCCCTTTGGGAGTGAGTAAACAGTGTCGAGGTACAAAAGATTGGTCTGAGGAGAACAGCACTGTGGGGAGTTACCAGGAGATCTGGTCCATACTCAACACTCAAGGGAAAGGTGAGATAAATATACACTCAGATAGTTACTGGTACCATCGAAATAAGAACTTTTTACTTGCTGCTGAAGATGGGGATGGAGCGCTTGCAGGGGTGTCCTGAGTACTGATGCTGATTCTTAATTCAACATTCAATATTCAACATTATCCTGATGTGCTATTTGTATGAAACACAGGGTTTGTAGTTGCCCCTTCCATTCCATTTTAACCTTTACAATATTTGTGACATTACAAATGGTAGGGCCTTTCAGCTAAAATTACTCAGAGGCCAAAATGTTGAAAATGGGGATCGCCACAGGCCAGGAGCCCGTAACGATCCCTTGGCCACTAGCTCGGTCTCTGAGGGAGGGCCACTAGCTGAAAAGCCCTGATGTATGGAATTCAGTCTGGTACCTTTAGCCTCTCTCATCAATATTCATTACAGGGCTTTTCCCTGATGCCCTCACTATTTCAATGCAATTTATTTGTTTCTCATTTCTGTGAGTACTACTATTCTTTGCCCGCTCCTTTTCTTTCTTTCTTCAATAAGAATAACATCAGCAAATAACATAAACCAGAAAAAACAACAAATTATGAAATGAGGGTCATACTTTCCTGTGTCTCCATGGAAAGCAATTGACACTGCCCCTAATCCAGGATGCTGGTTCAGTGGATAGTCTTCAGGCCCAATGCCCATTGTTATAACCCCAGAGGCCATCTCAATGACTTCAATTACAAAAGTGTTATGGGCTCTTGTTATCTCTTCCTGACACACCATGAGACCAATATTCTTGTCTGTTTGGTCATTTCTGACATAACTGTGGAGTTTAAAACATAAAGTACAATAGAAAGAAAAAAAATGCTGAATACATGAAATTCAAACTTTTCTACACAATAAAATCAAGACTTCTGTTTTCATGAAATTTAGGATATATCTCATCATCATCATCAGGTGCTGGTGTAGGCGTTCATGTATCTCCTTAAATCTAGGTGATTGGTGTTCTGAATCAATTCCACTAATGATATTCACCAATTTTACTGTCTTAAGCCATCCACCATCATTTCTCTTGGTCTGCCTCTTCTACCAATGATCTTTCCAGTCATCACATTACTCTTTGGTGATCATTTCTCATCACATGTTCCCAAAAATTCGTCTTCTTATCTATATTAATAAAAATGTTAATTTTCCTATGTTGTAACCTAAAAACTCGGAAACTACTGAACCGTTTGCTGTCAAATTTTCACACAACGTTGCCTCTGACTCAAAGCGTGATTGTTTGTCAGAAAATCGCACAAACCATGAACGACGTAGCTCCAGCAATGGTCAAATCATTATTTGTTTCATTGCCCGCCCGGATTTCCTTTTAAACGATTGGCCACCTTTGACTGTGTAACACCAAACTTCAGATTATTATTACATACTTTCATTTCTACTAGCTGCTTGTGTATTTGGTAGCGTAGTTAGTTGTAAGCATTTCGCTTTTTACTCGGGTGATAGGGGTTTGATTCCCCGCTGGGTGTTATACCTTTCTGTTTTTGGGCCCCTAACTGGGTGGCTGCCACGTTTTTGTGTGGTTTATAGCTAGGCTGCAATATCTACTCTTTTTTTTTCCGTTCGATTTTGGGAGTTTACAGCTAGCCTGCTATAGCGGCGATGTGATGCTCAATGTTCATGCCACGGGTAATATTGTTCGCTCTTGACAGGGTGGTTGGCACGTTGTGTTGTTGTATACAGCTAGGCTGCAATATCTGACCTAAAGTCTTCAGTCTTCGGTAGTAGAGTTGTAAGTATTCCACCCTTCATGCGGATGACCGGTGTTCGATTCCCCGCTGGGTGCTAATTTTTATTTTTCCTCTTAAGGGGCGATTGGCACGTTGTGTTGTGGTTTACAGCTAAGTTGCGACATCTGCGCCAACTCCTCTGGCTAGACCAACCTGTACAGACAGTAGTGACCGTTTTGTGTTGTTGTTGTGACGGTGGTGGTAGTGGTAGCGGTAGCAGTAGTACTGGTACTCGATGGGTTATGTAGTAGCTGTACACTGGCCACATTTACTTCTAAGTACAGATTAATGCTACCCATTTTTGACTGGGTGGACACGGATGCCAAGCTCAATTTAACAACACTATTTCGTCAGGCGATGACTTTCCCATACTTCGTAGAGGATTATTTTACAGTTCTCATTTCTTAACTATTTCTTTTTTAACAATGTCGCCACATACTAATGTTTCACTCATTCGGAGATATAATTGGGCAGATGCTTAAGTCCTTGGTAGCGTAGTTGTATATTGTGCGTGTTACGCGGGTTACTGGCGATCAATGCCCCGCTGGATGATTAAATATTTTTTTTTTGCCCTTAACTAAGCGGCTGGCACATTGTGTTGTGATTTATAGCATGGCTGCAATATCTACGTCTTTTCCCGCTCAGTTTGGGAGTTTACAGCTAGCCTGCGATAGCGGCGACGTGATGTTGGTCATGTCACGGGTAATCTTCGTTCGCCCTTGAGAGGGAGGTTGGCATGTTGTTTTGTGGTTTACAGCTAGGCTGTGATATCGGACCCAAACTCTTCAGTTTTAGGTAGTAAAGTTGTACTATTCCGCCCTTCACGTGGTTGACCGGTGTTCGATTACCAACTAAGTGCAAATTTTTCTTTTTTCCTCAAGAGGGCTGTTGTCATGTTGTGTTGTGGTTTACAGCTAGGCTGCGATATCTGCACCTTTCGCCCAAAGACATCCGATTTCAGTAAAGACCCATTTATCCTCCAAGCGACGCTTCACTCAAACATAAACTATTCGTTGATGACAGACACTGTTAACTAAGACTGCTTACAGTCCAGCTTACTTTGGGTGGTTTACTGTGGTAGCTGTTACACTGGCCACATTTACTTCTCATTACACATTAATGCTATCCATCTGTCTCTGGGTGGACACGGATGCACAGCTCAATTTAGTTACACTATTTCGTCAGATGATGACTTTCCCATCCTTCGGCGAGGATGATATTATTAGTCGGGGGGGGGGGGGGGGGGGGGAGCGGGGAGGGGATTGATGGGAGACACTGTTAACTAAGAGAGCTTAAAACATTATTTTAAATTTATCCTTTCTTAACTATTTCTATTTTAATAATTTCGCCAAGTGATGATTTTTTATTCCTTCGGAGAGGGACATATTATTGGGGGGGGGGGGGGGGGCAAGGGGTTATGCCAGACACTGTTAACTGAGAGAGCTTAAATTATTATTTTCAAGTTCTCATTTCTTAACTATTTCTATTTTAATACTTTCGCCAGGGATGATTTTTTCAATCCTTCGGAGAGGGAGACATGACTGGGTGGAGGGGAGAGGGAAGGGGGCTGAGGGTTATGACAGACACTGTTAGCTGAGAGCTACTTTCTTTCTTTACCATTTCACCATTCGGGGCCACAGCAACGCGTGGCAGTGCACAGATAGTTGTTGTATATAATGTTCTACTTTCATTACCTAGTTCCAGGCAATCATTGTTAGTTATTCTGTCAGTCTAAGGTATTTGCAACATTCTTCAGCAGGCAGATAGACTGGCTGCTTCTGCCCCACTTGGTAGTGAACTGATGTATGACAAGCTGGATATTGTGAGGGCTCTTTGGGAGCGAGTGAACAGTGCCGAGGAATAGACAGATCATTATGGTTTGAGGAGAATGGCACTGTGAGGAGTTACAAGGGGATCTGGCCAACACTCAACACTCAGGGGAAAGATGAGACAAATATACAATCAGACAGTTACTGGTACCATTGGAATTTTAACTCTTCGCTTGCTGCTAAAGATGAGGACGGAGCACTTACGGGGGTCTCCCGAGTGCTGTGATGTCAATTCCTAATTCAACATTTAACATTCAACACACAACATTTGCAACATTTTTCTCAAGAACCACATCTAAGTACACCTCAGTAGTCTGATGACAGTCTCGAGTCACATGTGGCTCTTTACAGTCCCTACCAGACGAGACTGTCTGAAGACAGCCACTAATGTCATTCAATTAATTAAATCTGTGACTCTCTTTGAATACTTGGGAAGATAATTTGATGGCTTCCAGTTGACTTCCACATCCACATGGAGGGTCTCCTCCCTCTACTTTTGACAGTTAATTCCGACTGTCAGGACAAGTGAGTGCCCTGCTCTGCTCAGCTGCAGAATTGTCCACTTATTCTGGTGGATACTAGGTCCCTAGAGCTGCGTTTGTCACACCATGATGGGTTGCCCGCTCTCTACCATGCAGAGGTGCAGTTGGGATTTTCCCTTCACTGAGTTTTGAAATCATAATGGCATTTTCCAAAACTAGGATATATCTACAAACACAAAATACAAACAATATACACTTCAGACAAATCAATTAGCAATACATGTGTCCACATTAATTTAAGTTTGGTATAAACCTTAAGATGCCTCTGTCATCACACAGAATGTTGCTCCAATAGGTTGGAGTCCAGAAATGCCCTTTCTCTTCCCACTGTTGAATTACTTCCTGAAATATAAAAATGTAAGAAACTATTCACAATAAGACAAATATTTACTTCCTTTAGATATCAAGTTCCCCCCCCCCCCAATGTTTGTTTCAGAGCTCCATTTAAAGGGGGGGGGGGGGATTGAGCCACTGTGCCCCCCTTAAAAGCATGTTGTGGAAGGCAACTAGCTAGGGGTGTTTCCTTCAGAGTACATCTGCTTGATAGGTGAGGAACCAATGGTCTGCACACTAATAAGCCAGATCTGTATACCACTAGTTCTGGAACAAGTTCAAAGTTCAGAAATGATTAAACAACCAAAACTTTCCACAGTAGTTTATAGTTTATGAAACACAAAGAAGAAGAAAAAAGGTATTAGAAGGAAAAGGTAGCTATATGAGAAAAATTTATAATAATATTCTAGAATATTCTTACACAATAAACCACAGAGATAACAAAAATTAAGGGAGGATTTTTAAAAAAAAATACTGGCGGAGAAGAGAATTAGAGACTGAGGTGAAGAAGATGGAAGAGGATATGCACAGAACAGTAGGACTTGGCCAAGTTGGTTGACAGCCTTTGCTCCACAGGGAGGGGGGGGGGGGGATTTGGAAAAAGATAGCTGCAGCAGAAGGAGGAGGGGAAGAAGACGATAATGAAGGAGAAGGAAGAAGAGGAGGAGAAGAAGAAGAAGAGTAGCTTTAATAATAATGACTTCATCACATCCAAGCTGCCTCTAAGTAACAAGACATTTCCATTATAAGAGCACTTTAAAAAGTTTGAACTTAACAATACACTCCTACAATATGATACCAATAACACATAAGCTATGCAATATTAAATAACTAAAAATAATTGAAGGCATAAATATCCACATTAGAAAAAAAAATAAACCTATAACAAACTCTGTATATCCAAATTACAACCTGGATGAGTAAAACAGGATTTATAGCTCAAATTGTAATTACCACTTCCAATAAGACTAATTAGCATGTTTATAGAATTTTTTAGGTTAAGTTTTACTTATCGCTATCTCCATAAGTGCTTCAATTATTGCCCATAGACAATACTATCAGCATGTTGCATACTCCACAGTATTTAATTCAAATATGTGTAGATCAAAGTTGAAAATAAACCTGGTGAGTGAACTTTGTGGATGCTCCTTTTCATTTGCATTTACCAAGGGAATGAGCATGATGTGCTCATGGATCCTCCAATACTTTTTTCTTTCCTGAGAAAGTAATAGGTCTAATCCTCTATGGTGTCTGATATTTTGATACATTTAGTGTTTCAAATACTATTATTTCTTGCTCAGCTGTTTAAGTTTCTACATATTTCTATCTCTGTTTTGATGAATTTATGCAGTAAGCCTATGAAAATGGAAAAACATGCTGAAGCTCATCAGCTCCAGAGAGCCACAGGAAGGATTAAACAGTAAATAACAAAAAAAAAATGTGTACATCACAAGGCAAAAATGATGTTTCTTTTTTTAATATTTCCAAAGAAAAATTACACAATCTGATTTCCACTATTATTTTATATATAATAAAAATTGGTTACAATGTATACATATTATATGTAATATTTAAACCCACCAGTAATTGACAAAAATAAATTTACAATATTGAAAGTGAAAAAAGAAGAACTATATTTATTCCAACTATAATCCAAAAGGGATGAACATGATATTGTAGATTGAATTATTACTAGTAATGTAAAATAAAGGACATTTTTCCACGCCTTTTAGCATATTGGGCATACAGGGTTAGACCTATATTTCATAGACCAATCAGCTCTTGCCAGGTGATGTGGTCAGCATCATGCCAGTCATCTTTACTTCCCAGGACTTTACCTGGTACCCATTTAAGGCTGGGTCTACCTGACAGCCGAGATCATGACACTTGAAGCTTACACAGAAGGTTCTTAGAGCAATGTACGTAGCTCAGTAGTATCAGCAAAGATCCTGTAGACAGCAAAACCACACACACAAAAATTACTTCATGTTAGTAAAAAAACCAACAGAATAAATTTGCCATGGTAAAGACAATGGCCACACCGCTATCTTACAAAGCATCCTATTTTTAATTACTTTTTTTTGGGTCCCAGGATGGTCTGGTGTGAAAGGCAATGACAGAGTAGATTCCCTGGCTGGCAATGCGACTATCAGGAATGGGCCAACTAGGGACAGCAGAGACATCATCAATGCCATACAAGAGGCTAAATGCTGTGAGGTTTTCAGCTACTGTTAATGATTTTTTCACTGAACAGACTGCATAGGCTTACACTGGGTGTACCAACTGGAGCAGCAAGACAGGAAAACCATGCAGGAGCCACCCATCGTTACATCAACCAGAACAAATTGGGAGTTGTTAAGCTAAAAACATTTGGAGACATTCTAAGGAAGAGATCGAAGCTCTTTCACTTCAGTCCAATGTGCAATAAAGATGATCTTTAAATGAACAATTAACAGTGAACATCCTGCAAGCCAGGGTCATTTTGGGAAGAAAAAAATACAGCTTTGTCAGGACCTGAATCCACGACCATTCAAACCGCAGGCCAGTGTCTAGCCGCTACACCATGGCAACTCTCATAGTTAATGTAAACATTAAAAAAAAAAATTATTATTTACCTCTGGAGGACAAGCCTGATTCAGGAGTTTGACTTCTGCAGAACTTCTCCCAAGCAATGAAACAATTGGATAAAGCCCTGCATTTGCCTGATCTGAAAATTTTTTGCTCACCATCTGCAAAAATTTTTAAATAAAAAGTTATTTCTACTGTGTTGAAGGTCACACTACAAGGCTTGGTACAAGGGAAAATAAAATAAGGTTGGTTAAGGAAGATTTTGATTTTAAAATCTGGCTGACTGGAAGAGCCTCAAGTACAAAAACATCAGCCAGTGCATATGACTGCTGGAATGGGAAAGACCTGATCAAACAGTCAACAGAATCTTGATGATGTAATGAAACATAGTATTATAGGACTATAGATAGATACGTAGATGAAAAACACTGAATGATTGATAATAATCATTACATTGGATAGTATATCTGGGTTATGTAAAAGATTGTATGTGCTAGATAAGTGTTAAATTTGCAATGGAAAATACAGTTATAAATACTGAGGAGCCCTCACCGGAACCCAGAGAAGACCTAGAGATAAGAGGGCACACTAGATAATATCCAAATCCAAAGTTATAGTTAAAAAGCAAAGTGAAGGACCTTTTTCCAGGCCTTGAGGCACACTGGGCATATAGGGTTAGACCCATATTTTATAGACCAATCGGCACTTGGTGGGAGATGTGATCAGCAAACCAACCACCTTTACTTCCCAGGACTGCACCTGGTACCTACTCAAGGCTGGGTCAACTTGGCAGCCAAGGTTATTTTCTAAAAAATCAGGATCTGTCAGGACCCAAACTAATGACCTTCCGATCCGCCGGTGAGCATCTAGCCACTATACCACGGTGACTCCAGTTAACATACTGGAAATACAACCTTTTCCCCCAAAATGACAACAGTGGCTCACTGCAGGGAAAAAAAAGTGTACTTCCATGCATGCCCTTTAAAAATGTGACATCATTAGTGAGGATTTTCATCCTCTTGAGTCCACAACTATAGAATATGGACACAATTTGTACTGTTCAGTATGCACACTTTGACAATTTTAATTGTTATTAGTTATTTGTCTTTCAAGACATTAATATTTTTTTTTATAGTGTTCAACATTTTTTGGCCATTCCTGGACTTTTATTTTCCTTCACAACTGCCATCTGTTATTATATTTGTAAGATAGCAAAAACATGCTATTTCTTCTAATTTCTCTCCATATACTTTCAGGATCTATATTGAGACAACCAAACATGAGATGGTTTTGTCATAAAATAAAGATTACAAGATCATGCCACACATAAAAACTTCAACACTTTACATAAACAGAATAAGAGGTAATTACTACAAATGATGGATCAATGAAATGTTAGAAGTATAAATGCCACTGTTATGAATGACACTAAGCTCTCAAAGATCTTTACATAATGCAGAAAGGCAAAATAGTGTTTAAGAAAGAGAAGAAAGAGAAATTATGGTCACAGATGTAATTCTTAATAGTAATCTCTTAAACTAGTTCAGTTAAAAGTTAGTTGCATTTGCTTTACAGGACACTACAGAACCTTCTTCTTCTACCTTCTAACCCCCAAGCCTAGGCCCTCAGCCAACTCAGACAAAGTCATTCTATCCTTCACTAATGAATGCAGCTTTCCCCATGTCCTCCCAATCTTTTTCACTCCACTCTCTAGCTGCCTTCTACATGTGTGTTTAGTCTTTCTTTATTGCTACGCCCCCTGCAAGTTCAGTGCAAAGACAGATTTTCTCAGCATAATGCCTAACCAAAGCCAGCATCTTTTCTTCATCTCTTGGTCCACTGAAACTTGTTTAGTTTTCTCCGTAAATTAGTGATACATTTTATTCCCTCTATTCTGTGCAGGCACCAGTTAATGAATGTTTGTAGTTTATTAATAATTGCCTTAGTTGTTCACCGCATTTCCGCTCAATACAACAGTACTGATTTGACATTCGATTTTAAAATGTTCATTTTAATTTTAGTTTTAATTTCTTTTGATCTCCATAAATTTCCTAGTGCTACAAAAGCTACTCTTGCCTTTTAAATATGTTTTTTATTTTTCTCTGTCAGTTCCCCCCTCTTTATCTACATTACTGTCCAAATAGGACTCGACATCTTAGAGTGGGATACCATTAAGAGATACCACAATAGTATCTGCCTGATTTATTCTCATTATCTTTTTCTTTCCCTTGATTTTTACACCTAGCTGTTGTGATCTCACATCAAGTATAATTTATCTTGCATCTGATTCTGTAAGTGGGACAGAAGTAAAATATCATCAGTGAAGTCCAAATCATCAAGCTGTTTAGTAGGGGTCCAGTTAATTCTATTTCTGGTGTTAACAGCTGCTGTCTCATAATCTTGTCTACTGCCAGTAAAAATAGAAGAGGTGATAAAAGACATCCCTGTTGCACACCTGTTTTTATACAAGAAGACAGCAGTGCTTATCAGGCAACCATGATAAGTATGACCATGAAGATAAATCAGGCAAATACTAATGTGGTATCTCTTAATGGTATCCTGTTCCAACTAAGGAAACCAACTTCTCATGGGAACAATTAGTAGAAGTACCCTGGAGTGGCTGCTGCATCGGAGAGCTGAGCACGCATGGGAATGCCCAATGTGCAGTGATGTCGACTGTGATAACATAACACCTGTGTTTATTTAAAATATATCTGTTAGCTTTTCCTCATGAAGAACTTGACATTTCACTTCTTTATATGTTGCCTTTACTAAGTAAATAATTTTCTGTGGGATTAAATAGTGTCCAATTAATTTCCAGAGAGATCCCCTTTCAATGGCGTCATAGTCTATGAATTCATTGCAAAACCAACCCCAGTATTTTTTGGCTGTTTGTGGTATTACTTGACAATTTTACGTTAAGTATTTTGCCACCACTTTCTGAATGGCTGGCGTTCAAGATTATTATTCAAATCAACTCAAAACAGTCTGCTGCAAAAGCTCCTATAGCTAGAATCAAATCGGGTAATCTAAAAATTACAACCATGTTCACAAGACCTAAGCCAGAGATGTTGACATAATTTAACCTATTCTGTCCTAGAAAGTTTGTATTTTGTTGACAAAGACCATTCTGACTTAACTACTTAACTATATTTGGAGGGTCAAAAAAAGTTTCCAGAGCTGATGACTAGAGCCCAGCAGGGTCTAATTGTATGTGTATAGATAGCATTTTTGTGTTTTATTTACAATTTTTATAACCCATTTGAATGAAAATAGTGTTGAAAAATATTAGTTTAATTTACAACCAGTTTGTCTTATGACCTGTTATTCAGATATGAACATGGTCAAAAGTCAAGGAGACCCTATAAATGGGTGAGAATGCTTTAAAAAAAAATTAAACAATTGGAGCAGCGTGGGCTGGTATAACAACTGGATCTGGTACAAGACGTTAAGAAAATAGTGTAAGGTAAGTAGCCAATTCTTCTTCACATTCACTGGTTGGGAACTCTGGGGGAAAGTTCTGGTTGGGGAAAGTTCTGGTTGTTTGTCCACTTCTGGACTTTTAGTCTTTTTTCAGAATTTAAGTGCTCTGTGTGCACATCCATTATGCAGATCTGGCTTATCTGTATGCAGACTGTTGGTTCCTTGCCTCTCATGCAGAAGCACTCTGACTTTGAAGAATGCCCCAAAATAGTCGTTTCTTACGGGGACAGTGGGTCTATTCTTGTTTCCTCCATAATGGGACCCCAGACACACACAGGAAAAGCATAACTCAACAAATGCTTTGTGAACTGATTGGTACAGGATGAATTGAAATATTCTTGAGAAAGAAACTGTACCTGCATGCCACTCTTTGTGATACAGAATTCAGCATCCTCATTTGGAACATATTCAGATTCCCACTTGCCTGTAATTCTAAACCCATACACCACTCCAGCTTCCAGATCTACCCTGAGAATACAAAAAATAAAAAATATCCATGATTTAACATGTTTACTACATCTTCTTTTACTTAGTGTTTACTGGCTGTATAATCTGGCTGAAAATGTTGCTCATTTGTCCACTTCTGGACTTTGTGTTCCACAACTTGAATTTTGCATGCCCATACATTGTACAGGTCTGGCTTATATGTATGCCCTGTTGGCTCCTTGGAGGCAGATGTACCCTGACTTTGAAAAAAAAAAAACTCTAAAAAGTCCATTTTTACTACATGTTTTTTGTGGGTCTTTTGTTGTTTCTACTGAAATAGCGCTCAGGAACCCATATGAGGATAACATGTTTTGAGCATAGCTAACCCCATAAAAAATAAAAATTTTTAATTACAAAATTATTATTTTAACAAGGATAAAAATAACACTACTCTTCCTTCATGTTTTTTCTCAGCTGAAGTAGCAAATGCTTCTTTTTATTCTTCCCTATTTTCTTCATCTTCTTCTGCAGCTATTTTGTCCTTCTTCATCTCCCTTTTCATCTTCTTCTTCTTCTTCTCCTTCTTCTTTCTTCCCCTTTCATTATTTTTATATATTGGATGCTTCTCTGAATGTATTCAGTAGGCAAACATATTAGTCATTACACTAGCATAGCTCCCTCTAAGAAGACAGAATGATGAAGTGGGGAGTGTATGCAGGCTCTGGCACCACTCAAGACTCAGGAGAAAGAAAGATAAGTAGTTAATGAGATGACAGCAGGTTCTATCAGTAAGGAGACTCTTTGCTCAACAGCCGTTGAGGAGGGAGAGGGAGCTAACATGAGCCTGCCCTGAATGCTGTGATGTTGAATCTTCACCCAGATTCACCTCCTTGTAAAAACTCCTCAACTGCACTGCTATAACAAACTCACCCTTCTACAAGTCCTCCATTGTATTCTTTAGACTCCATAGGAAACCTCTCTGTGATCAGAATGTCATGCATAACACCCAGCAGCATCCCTGTTTCTGGCTGACAGGACAAGCACTGAACTTCAAAGTAACTGTGTGAGCGGCTCATTTGTTGCCGGGAGATCACAGCTCCAACAGAATTTGAATTGTCTGAAATATTCCTGAAACAATAAAAATGTTGAATGTTGAATTAAGAATTGACATCACATCATTCAGGACATTTCCATAAGCACTCAGTCCCCATCTTCAACAGCAAGTGCAGATTTCCAGTTCTGATGGCAACAG